AGTCAAGTACCAATAAGGCTGTTTTACGTGGTAGTGCGGCTAACAAACAAAATCTTAATGGGAAAGTCTGTGCCAAGTAGGTCTCAATCTGCCAGCCCTGACTCGACCGTGGGCACGTGATGAAGGTCAGGAAATTGGTAACCATTTATCTCTAGGTTACTGCGCATAATAGCGAGTGAAGTGAAGGAAAAGATGCGAGAAACGAAAGAATTGTCTCAGAAATCAGTGATATAAAGTCAGGGAAGTAATCAGCCTAAACTGATCACGAACATTGTTTGTCAAGACATGGACCGAAAAATGTCACGTAACAAATCTCTCCAAATGTGTGCCATTGTGACAGCATTGCGTGAGGTTCCCTAAAGCCACTGGAAAGGAGACAAATGAAAGGAAAGCTGACGCAAGGACGTTTTGTCTATACGCTATTTTGATATTTTTTTCTTACCTTGGAAAACGACACCATGATTTTGCAAATCAATGAATCATAGCTTACGCAAAAGTGTATATTGTAGGATAGTTACAAAAAAAAAATTAAAATGTCTGTTTAAAGATCGAAGGTAAACGAGAAAAATATGGACACTAGACTAGATCTCTAGCTATAACAGCTGTTTCTTTTCCCCTCAGAAGAGTTTTTATCATGTATTTTACAGTGATAAGTGACAGTTTGATGAAAATAATTCATGTTTTTGAATGACTTCAATAAAAAATTATTCGACACGAAAACTTTGATCGGTGGTCCATGCACATGAGATCAGGTTAGGTTCTTGGTCACAAGTCTCAGCGCGGCCTTGGCAGAACTTCCGGAAGTAACGTCAGTTGCAGAGACTTTGATCTCAGTTCCGCCGAAGTAGACATCTAGTTCAATGTTGCGGTGAATCCCTTTGGAAACATCCGGGCTGACGATCTGAAAGGCCACATTCTCCGCTGTGACTCCTGCGTCTGTCACAAACTGCGCCTTCTTGTTGTGCGTACTGAAGAAACGAAGTGAAGCAGTTGTCTGTTCCGGGTGAACGGGCGAGAAGAAAAACGTCCTCTTTTCTCCCACTTTCACCTGTTCGTCTTCTTTCACAAGAACATCAAAAACGTCCTCGCAGTAGCTGATGCCGCAAACGTCTGTCTTCTTCTCGTCGGGGTGTTTACTCGGGTCAAAAGCTTCATTGATGTCAATACCGTATGTTTTGGCCATAACCCGGGTTGTGAGCAAATCTGGTGCCTGAGCGAACATCACTGCGCCTTTGATGATGGCCAGCTCGGCATCGCGGGGGGTCAAAACTCTCATGTCAGGGAAGGCCTGGGTTATAGCTTTCCTCAGTGGCAAAGCCTGCGAGAAACCGCCGACCAGAAACATAGTGTTGACGTTTGTGTCTTTGATCTGCTTCAAGAGGGACTGGATAACGCCCACGGTTTTTTGCACAACTGGTTCATAGAAGCCACTGATCACTTCTAAGCTAAGACTTAGGTAACCATTACTAACATGCACTTGGTTATCTTTGTAATTCATCTTCAACCTTTCATTAATACTCTCGTCGCTTCCCAGGTCGCGTGAATAGGCGTTCACGAAATTAAATGGCAGAGTGATGCTAACTTCCTCGTTGTCGACGCCTTCTTCAGCTCTCTTCTGTATCTCAAAGTCGTTCATTATTTTCTGCCAGTCGTTTGGGAAATCCCTTCTGAACTTGTGGATAAAATCTTCTCCAAATACTGCCACGAGCATGCGCTGGAACTCCCTATCCACATGCATGCCTCCTAGTTGGCCACCCGCTGGACAGTGAATTTCGCGGATTGTGCCGTCCTCCTGTATTTCATGTGCTGTTATGTCCAAGGTACCGCCTGAAAGGAGCAAGAGCAAGGTTAGTTTTAACTTCGTTAAACCAAACCCGATATGATCACTGCGGTCAATCAGAAAAAAGTTAAATATCACAAGGAACCGATGAGAACTTAAATAATTCGGCCCCCAATGCGAAAAACGCATAGCCAATCGTCATTGATTTTAGTCTGGTTTCTCATTGGCTGAAATGGTGGTGTCAGAAGCCCTATTACTTGCGTAATGGGCTCCTGATGGCGTAAGTTTCTGGACCACACGTATAGTTTTATTAGAGTAAAGCCAATACAGACACGAACTATCTTCAAAGGTGTATTCAACCTATGATTGTTTTCTTGAGCGTACACTAAAACAAGGTTTCAGGCTCTCACTAAATCACCACTAATCCACCGCTAATGGCGCTTGTCCGAGCCTGTTTAATTTGTCACTGTGACGTGAATGGTAAAGTCGCACTGACCTCATTTAGAGCTTTTCCTTGGGTGGGAGGAAGAAAGAACCTGAGAATGAGCTTAGAGGTGCGCATGACCGATCGCATATCTCACTGATGAGTTTGCCTTGAGAACGCAAGGTAGTAGGCTATCTCATAGTTTCCAAAACTCTCATTGAAAGTGACGTCAAATTCAAATACCTTTTTTATCAGAATGAGCCTCGTAAGCAGGATAATAAATAACTTATTTTTAGGTCAAAGGCTTCGCACTTACTAGTTTAAAAATCGGATATGAGATTGGAAGACATTTTGGGGAAATATTAAAAGAAACTTGTTATTTTACTCTCGGCAAACCATAACTGCATTGTAGTAATGGCGTGATATGCAAAATTTAACCAAAACGAGGCTGATTCATGACTCGAGGAACAAGTTATGTCCCTCACCTCCGTTATCTATAACGACATACGAAGCCAGGCCTTCGTTCACTGATTCGTCTCCAGTCTCCCCCAGGAAGTCTTTCATCTGTAGCGTTCTGCAGTAGAACGAGGCTGCTTCGGGTTCAAGAGCAATCAGCAGTTGGTCTGGGTCATCGTTTGATGCTAGTCCTGCCTGTAAGAAGAGAATTCTAGTTGTGCGGATGACGCGACGCCAATAGGCTTGTGTCACGCCAACTAAAAATCCGGCTGTAAGGAGACATTACAGATGAGTGTGCGTCCAGATGGGTTTTACTAGCATGGGGTCCGTGGAAAGTGCGAAGAGCAAAATAAGAGCTTTCCTGTCTCGACTTCCTACCACCCCATGAGAACTTTCTCTCTCTACCAGTCCCCGCATTTTGGCTAAAGTGGTACCAAGAAATCATTGTAGTGGATAAAGGGTCTGGTCTTTACTGCTCGTGTGTCAGCACAAAGACTATTTAGAATAGAAGGCTAAGAATGTTGCAGTGTGGTTACCAAGATTATTCACTTGGAACAAAATAGTGGAGAACATGTTTTTTATTTTCTTAGCTGTCAGAAAGCTTTTGAATTTAATCTAACTTCGTGAAATGGAGTCTGTAATTATGAAGCTTCATGAATATATTGTTCTCCGTAAAGAGTAAATTGATTCAAACAAGAGAAATGTTCATGAATTACCTTATACGCTGCCTCTCGCATGAATTCTTTGGCAGTCGGCTCCCAAATGGCGGGAACCGTGACCACCCACTGCACATCATGTGACTCATAAGTTTTACCCCGCTGACCACTGGAATTGATGCACTCCATTGCCTTATCACCCAAATATGCAAGACACACTGAGAACAAGTCGAGCGCCTTGACAACTTCTCCGCTTGATGCCATCAGGGTGGTGTCCTTGGAAAGAGCCTAACAATAAAAAAAACAATTCTTGTTTTGGTTTGTTTAAGTCCTAATTAGAGATATTTACGACAACACTCAGTCATGCATTTTTCCCCTGTTTATTCATCTTGTCCGCATGGCTGCTCATCGGACAACCCGGGTTGTGGAGAATATTTTAAGCTTATCTTGCTAGAGGCTCTTTAGAGCACAAAATAGTTAGGTTGAAACGACACTTGCTCGTCAATTCCACATGATACTTGTTTGACGTTTTGCGCTGTCATTCGTTTGATTAGCAGTCGTAACCAGGACGAATCGATCCTTTGTCTTGAAAAAGTTCCAAAACGAGATTCAGTGTTGTTAAACACCTGATGACGATATTTTACCATCGTTCTTGAATTTTCCAGCATTTAACATCGGCCCACGTAAGCGTAACAAATTGAAGCAATTTGAACTGTCTACTTTTGTAACACAAATCCCTAAGACCAATTGACCTCCTCTGTGGGGTCACAATAGACAAAACTGGAATCTTCCTTTGATCGCAAATACACAAACAAAGCGGAAACGGGATTATAGATCGTGCCAGAAAAATTCCAATTAAAAATTGGTTGGATCGTATTTTAGTAAAAAAAAAATTATTCTGAACGGGAAGATACTTTGGCAGGAAAGCCATGATTAATGATCTTGAAAATGGGCTTTAACTAACAATGCGTGAGAAAAGACCGGTCTTCTGTTATGAGGTCTTTTGTCGTTTTAATCCAATTTCATGCCGAGAGAAGATAAAAACAACGTTAGAAAATGGGACTGTTTTCAAAAGAGACTTAATATGCAGAAATTTTACTTTAATTATTAACTGATTAGAATGCTTCTCTTTCATTAAGGATGTTTAGACTGTCAGTAAAAGTCAACAAAACAAAACAGCGTGCGTGGCTTTTTCTTTCAACAGTTCTCGCAGTCTGTTGGGAATCTGGGCGCACGTCGTTAGACGTTCCCTTTCCTGCGTCGCGACAGAATTTTGAACGGCGCGTTTTTTCACATAGATATCAGCACGATTTCAGAGGCAAAACTTATAGATTAGATCAGAGCAGAAAGGAGATAAGAGCGGAAAGAAGAAATAAAGAAATTATTAAAAATCAATAAAACCGGGGACGAAAGGTACCCGTGAGTTCAGACGCAAAAAGCATAAACAAATCACTTGCCTTTGTATTGTAGAGAACTAACTTGAACCTCTCAAAGTAAATGATGTTCTGATTGTTTCCTTTAGCAAGATTTTTGGCATAAGCTTCGACGGCAGCATGACCGAATTTGCTAAAATTTCCATCCGGGGCCAACAGGACGCTTGTTGGTGTTTTGTAGAAGCTAAATCCTTGCCCTCGACCCCATCCGCGAAATACTTGTATACCCGACTCGCCCGAAACGTTTGCTTCAGCAAAACCGAACCCAGAATATGTCGTTCCAAAATCAATGGCAACTGTGACAGACCGCTTTCTTTCTTCCATGTTAGAGCGATATGTGCACGGTGTTCCGAAGAAGCGAGAAGTCTCTTTAAAATCCTCAGGTGATCTGATATTCCGCTAACGCGATATGGCAAAGAAAGGTCATGGGACGGAGTTATTTTGCCGACGTCAGAAACACAAAGGTATGTTCTCGCCCAAATGTGGTGTTTTAACCAGACGCTCTCGATAACTGTTGAGAGAACAGATCATTTAGTCTGAACTAATGAAAGGTCGAGCGATCTTTGTTGGGTTGCAACTCAGCGAGACGCCCCACGGTGCCAAACTAGCGATTAATTTGGCGGTTTGTCATTGATTTAACTTTATTAACTTTTATAATTGGTCAGACGCTTCTTCTCCAGTAGATCGAAGCATTGTTCAATGAACAATCCCTACCGCTGCTAAAGCTGGTTGGAAACTATTGTTGCCGTCAAAATTTATCAGATAGGAAATACTTGCACGGCTCAACAAGCTTTGATCAAATATTGTGGGATTCCTTACGACACATTCGCCAAATGATGATGAGGGGGTGGTGTCAGAAGCCCTATTACT